TTTCTGGTCTATTTCTTCACAAAGTATTAAGTTGAAGCAACCCTACTCTGTTGCAAATAAGTGTCATTCAGGACATGTCAATTTTGCCTTTCAGACATCACATTGCAGTGGCTAATTCAACATTCGAAGAGCGGCGGACGATAGATGATCATGACAACAGTCATGACATCATGAGGAAGAGACATGTAGACAATGAATTGTAGCTTTCATAAGGATGGATTTAGTTTGGAAAAAAATGGTGTCTGGATCAAAATTCATTCCTCTATTTAAAACAGCCACAATGCAGGTAAAAAAAATAACAAGAACTCAAGAATGAAAAAAAATATTGAAAGCATTCAATGCTTATACTAGCCAAAACTACTAGTACATTTTCGTGATCTCAATAGTAGACCAAACTTTTGTATTTTGACAATTTTTGTGGGAAGATGACAAGTTAAGGAGAAATTGACAATTCTTTGGTATTTGAGAATTGGTATGATTGGAGCAACTGAAGACCAGTTGTTACAATCTACAGTGTGATTGGATAAGCCTACCCATGGCATCATGGTACAACCAATCCTAGAACCTGTAGCAAATGAAGTGGATCCAAACAATAATGAATAGCATTTGTTATTTGAAATGCTCAGCCAGTTAACACATTTTTTGCCCCATTTTCATTGCTTATTCATGTGATATTTAATGTACATATTTGAAGTGTGCATAGGGAAAGGGGGAAATTTATGTACTAATATGCTAATGTGACCATACAAAACAAAACAAAACAGAACAAAACTATTGCGTTGCTAGGGGCAAAGTTGATACTTTTTCTTCTAAATTTGCTATACAGTGTAAGTGAGGAGTAGGTATATGAAAATATAGTGTTTATACAGTGCTACTGGCTCTAGTTATACAAGGACAACAAATGATGTGTTTTGTATGTCAGTTGTCTCAAGCCTTGATGTATAGAGTTTCAACATGTTGTGGAGATCATGCTACAATAAACTAACTACAAACTAACTACAATTGGCAACAGTAGGTTTTACTCACAGCAATCTATGTTTGCTACGGCTGCACATGTTGTTGCAGCACATTTGGAAGTGCTCTATGGTTTGTTTTGGTATGTTGTAGTATTGGTCACTGTTTTCCCCTACTTTTTTGTTGGTATGGTGGTACATGTATCTGTTGAAATGAACGATACCCTACATTGCAAGCACTTCTGTCAGTAGCCTTCAAGATAGATAGTAAGACCTGATTTACACACGGGCAAAATCCTGACACAAAACTGTGTGCGGATGTGAGCGCGTATGAAAACGGCTTACGTTCAATTTTTCTTGCATTTAAATCAGCCTGCTTTGATGTACATCAAGAACGAATGTTCAGACCATATGTTACCTCGAGGGCTGACATAGAGTCTGAATGTACATTCAAAGCAGGCCGATTTAGGTGCAGGAAAACTTTGACGTAGGCAGTTTTTGTTTGCTCACGTGCGTATGCAGCTTTTGTACTGTCAGCCTTTTTTACCGCATACATTTAAATTGGCCCTATGTTTCTATGTACTAGTAAATATCCCATGTTTGTGATATGTTGCATTAGCATTGAGCTCTCTTGGCATGGTGGTGCCACTATACCAAAGTGACAATGGTAGGGGAAACAATTAAACAAGCTGACCAAGGCCTTTGTGTAGTGGACAAATATATATAAATATATAATACTATTTCATGTACAATTACTTCAATGTTGTACAGATGGTTGTTAAAAAGTTCTGCATTGGAGATGAACCTTTCTGCACAGTAGTCCATGACCACTGTTCAGAAGTGCCTCTGTGCTTGTTTGTCA